CTGAGAGGTGTGCCCAGTGGCCCTGGGCCGGTGCGGCCTGAACAGCGACGGTGCACCCTTAGAAATCGAGTCTTGGAGAAGACACATTCCCGCAGGAGACTGGAAAGCCGGGCTTTCTCAAAGCAGAGAAACATTGTTCTCAGTTTTAAAAAATAAGAACCCGCCCCCCCCCCAGGGCGCAGGACTCACAGACGCTGCAGATCACCGTTAGTGGTGGTTTGGAAGGGGTCCTGCCAGCCTCCGCCTTCTGAAAAAGCTGACTTCGCAGGTATGTGTGCTACATACCTTGTTTCTGACAACAGCATGGCATAGAGGGCGCTATGTGAACCTCCAATTAAATTAAATTAAATTAAATTGAAAATTAAATTTAAATCCTCCAGCAAGAATATAGTGTTCTTACGGAAATTTCTCATCTCTGTTGAGGGCTATTGTCCCCTAGTGTGATTAGAGGGGCTCAAATCGGGGTGGGAGGTATAGGTCAAGCGGTAGAGTACATGCTTAATGCGCAAGGTCCAGGGTTCAATCCCCAGCACGTCCTCTAAAAATAAAAAAACAAACAAACCTAATTACCTCCCTTCCAAAAACAAAATAATAAAGGAGCTCAAATGAGTGTCCCCCAGGCTCTCAAATTCTTGGGGGAGAATTTGTTCCTCTTTGTAACCCAGGAGCTTTGACTTTGTGCACAGAAGACGCTGGAGACCCCGTCCTTCCCTAGGGCAGACAGAAACCTTCGGGGGCTGGGGACTGCCTCTCCCGCACGCCCAGCGCTGGGCAGGGCACTTCCCTTCCCTTTGGTGTCCCGGGAAGCAGGGAGGTCGCCCAAGGTCTAACGAGATCGCAGAGACTTTTGTATGTGGAGGAAATTTCCAAAAATAGAAGGCCCGTAGGCTGCTGGATTGTTTGAATTCTACGGGTTTAAATCCTGCAGCATCCCCCGGACCTCTTAGCAAGCCCTCAGCAATGAGCCCGGGTTTGGGCTGGTGGTTGGCGGCCAGGGCTGGGTCGGATGGGCAGACCCGCGGCCCCAGGGCGCCCGGTGGTGGGCTCCGGCCCGAGGTGGGGTCGGCGGTGACGGCGCTCTCTAAAGGCCCGACACGAAGCCAGGTGCACGCGGCGAGGCCGACAAGCCAAGGCAGCAGCGCGTCCTGCCGGG